CACTTATACTGTGCTTAGCTTAGCGGCATTTTCACATTTTTCAATAGTTTTCACAAAAGTTAAAAAGTGTGCTCTGTATAGTCAAAGTCTAAACGCATTTGCAAATAATTCTGTGCGACATTTTCACTTATTACTGTGCTTAGATTGGCGGCATTTTCACATTTTTCAATAGTTTTCACAAAAGTTAAAAAGTGTGCTCCGTATAGTCACAGTCTAAACGCATTTGCAAAAATTCTGTGCGACATTTTCACTTATACTGTGCTTAGCTTGCGGCATTTTCACATTTTTCAATAGTTTTCACAAAAGTTAAAAAGTGCTCTGTATATTCACAGTCTAAACGCCTTTGCAAATAATTCTGTCGACATTTTCACTATACTGTTGTGATTAGCTAGCGGCATTTCAATTTTTCAATAGTTTCACAAAAGTAAAAAGTGCTCCTGTATAGTCACAGTCTAAACGCATTTGCAAATAATTCTGTGCGACATTTTCACTTATACTGTGCTTATATTGGCGGCATTTTCACATTTTTCAATAGTTTTCACAAAATTTAAAAAGTGCTCCTGTATAGTCACAGTCTAAACGCATTTGCAAATAATTCTGTGCGACATTTTCACTTATACTGTGCTTAGCTTGGCGGCATTTTCACATTTTTCAATAGTTTTCACAAAAGTTAAAAAGTGCTCCTGTATAGTCACAGTCTAAACGCATTTGCAAATAATTCTGTGCGACATTTTCACTTATACTGTGCTTAGCTTGGCGGCATTTTCACATTTTTCAATAGTTTTCACAAAATTGAAAAAGTGCTCCCGTATAGTCACAGTCTAAACGCATTTGGGTAAACATTTGCACCAGAGTGACGCATAGACTGTGCTTAGCCTGGGTAATTTTTTGAATTTTTAATCCAAAATTACGAAAATATTTTAAAAAAAATTAGAAGCAAATTTTTTTCCAAAAGCAATTATTTTGTTGAAACAAGCAGAAAGTTCTTTGAATCATTTAAATCGGACGCTCAGTTCTCTCAAAAACTGCCATTTTTTTAATATTTAGCTCTGTATCTCCGAAACTGCTGGGCCTACCTTTGCCAAAAACTAATAACCACTTTTCCCCGTCATTACGAACTGAGAGTTTTTAGATCATTCAAATCCGACACTCCGTTCTCTCAAAAACTCGATTTCTATTTTCTGCACTCTTTGCTCCGTATCTCCGTAACGGCTGGACCTGCCTTTGCCAAAAACTAATCAGCACATCTCCCTATCAATAGGAATTGAATGTTTTTTGAACCGGTTTTTCAAATCGGTTGATCCGTACACCCGAATACGTAGACGAAAAATTGTATCCATACATACATACACACACACATTCATTTAGTTTCTGAGGTATGCCCCTTAAAAATGTTCAGAAACCTTCAAAACGTCGAGAAATGCAAAAATTTTCATTTTCGATTTTCGGCCCATTACTATAACTACCTACGGGAAATTAAAGAGATTTTCATTACATTTCCTACTGACCTTTATCGACATATTCGACGGCATCTTCTTCTCATTCGAGTCTTTCGGTCTTTCGGTGCAACATCAGAGGCACTCTTTTTGCTTTCGCTGCTACTAATGCTCTTCACCTTCCTAATTTTGTTATCAAAACTGGCGATGCTAGTATCATTCTTCACCTTCTTGATGATCTTAGGTTGTTTCTGGAATTTCAGATAGTAGTAGTTCTCGTATTCCTGCAGAATCGTCTCCAAATCTATATTGTCGCACACTTGGAAGGTCTCGGACAGTTGTCCTTCTTGAAATAGCGTCTCGGATGTTAGACGGAAGCCGTTGTCTCGCAGATAGTGGGAAATTAGGTAGAGGACGTTGCGTTTGCGTTCTTGGATCTTTTTCTCTTCCTAGAAAAAGGATAATGGATAATTATGTTATATTCATACATGATGAATAAACATACACGTAAATAGTCTGGACTGCAAGTAGTAAAACTTCTTTAGGCGCGACTAGTGTATAAATCCGTACAAAAGCAACGGAAATAGCGTTACCCACCACTCATTCACTCTCGACCATATCTTTCAACACGAGTCGATTGGGATTAGTCGTTGTGTATGTGAATAGAATCCTGTCGTTGTAAGATTACCGATATCAACAAGGAAATCGGCATAGATATTTTTTTTTTTTATTTTGGATATAATTTACATCTGTCCAATGGACATTAGGTAAATTTTATGAATAGCAAAATAACAAAGAAGCTGTCTGCAAATAAACTATTAAATGCTTGAGAGGGTGTACAGTTGCGGCATAGATAAATAAACATTTTAAAATTACATCGCACTACAAATCTTGATTTAATGAAAAATGCCTGAAAACATTTGTGCTGTGTACTAGGGAATGCGATACCGGTAAACCGCCCGATTTTCGGTGGTATTAATACCGGAATTTACCCTAAAAATATCGGTATTTTCGGTATTTTTACATAAGCGCTATTTGATACAAAATACACTAAAGTTTAATTTTCTCGGAACAAATTTATCTTTAAATTCTACAATCGCATAAACAGCTATATCTTCAAGTGATTCTATAAGATAAACAAATGTCAAATATTATCTCAACTCGTCATTAAACTGAATATTTATTGCTTTCCAAAGGGCTTCATATCGCGTTTAATAAATAGAATTGGACTGATAGATAATGATGTTTGTATCATCTTTTGTAAAAATGTAACGGTTTTTTAAGTGATATTTGCGCCAAATATTTTATATCATACAGATTACCTCTGCGTAATCTTTATTTTGTTTCTAACTTTATATATAATAATTATGATAATTACTAAATATTTTTGCTTCTCATTACAATTTAAAAATATTATTTTTCGAAGACGTTTAGAAGCTTGAAAATACTATAGAAGCATCACATTGTTTTAAATGACAATACTCAACAATTATAGTAACTTATTGTTCGTCTTGACAAAGTATCAGATCTTAAATTAGTGTAGAAAAATAAATTTTTTTTTAATATTCGAGATTATGCTAATCTAACACATCGGATACAGACAATACAGTATATTATAATAATGTAAGAAATATGTTTTTTTATGAGTTTTCGGTCTTTCTTATTCATAAGTTTGTTTTCGTGAAAAGTCTCAATATACTCGATAGTGATAATGAATTAATTAAATTGGATATACTTTTGTTAAATTATTCTTTAAATTACTTATTGTTTTATTTTATTGTTTAGTTGAATATAGTTGTAGTTGTATATACATTTTTTTATATTGTACTAGTAACTTTCAATTTTGTTTACGTTTGTTTAAGATAATAAAAATACCGGTAATTTACCGGTATTCCGGTTTAAAAATGAAAAATTGCCGAAATACCGGTATTGAAATTTTCCATCGGTATTGCATTCCCTAGTCCAGACTCTAGACTGCAAGTTTACGATTTTTACCTTAAAGAAGTTGCATGAACTTTCTGAAATCTAACAAAACGATTTAATTTTTTTTTTGTTAAAATATTTTGAAATTGAATTTATAATTTAACAATAAGTGTCGCTCACTTGACGACACATGACAAGTATATTCATCAAACACAAAGTAAGTTGCTAATGGTAAGATGTACGATAAATAATATTTTTATTTATTATTACGAATATTCTCATCATACTCCATGATGAGTATATTCGTCAAACACAGAGTAAATTGCTGTTGGTAAGATGTAAGTACGGTAAATGATATTTTTTATTTATTATTACGATATAATGCTCCATGACGAGTATATTCGTCAAACACAGATCAAGTTGCTATTGGCATGTACGATGAATGATATTTATTATTTACTATAATTACGAATATACTCGTCATACTACTCTATGGCGAGTATAATTCGTCAAACACAGAGTAAGTAACCTTAACCTTAACTTCCCGTAGGGTAATCGCAAAAAAAATGTAAAATGAAACATTTTATATATCTTTACGTTTCAGAAGTTTCTGAACATTTTGGCATACCTTAGAAAAAATGAATTTCGGGAACACCGATCAACCGATTTGAATAATTCAAAAAACATTCGATTCGTATTGATACGGAGATGTGGTGATTATTTTTTGGCAAAGGCAGGTCTAGCCGTTTCGAAGATACGGGCAAGAAGCGACAAAAAATGGTAACTCAGTTTTTAAGAGAACGGAACGTCCGATTTTAATAATTCAAAAAACATTTTACTTGTATTGATGATATGAAGAATTTATTAAACTTTTGGAAATGCAGGTCTATCGGTTTCGGAGATACTGAAGAAAATGTAAAGAAAAATGATATTGCACATCAAATTATCAGATATTTTAAACATGTGTACTAATTTTGTTGCAATTTTTTCGGGGTTCTGTACCTAAACTTTTAATTTCTGAAGTTCACTTATACGGTTCTAACAAATTACAAAATTTTCAGACATTTCTTAAGGCAAATTTCTGGAACTTCCAGTACCAAAAATTATTTTTTTTTTAGATTAACATTTTGGAAAAAAATTAACTCTGAGAAATTAGATTTTTGAGAAACTATAAATTTGACAACTTACTTTCTTTTTGACAAATTACTTTCTTTTGAAAAACAAAATTTTTTTTTTGAAGACAAAAAATTTTTTTGAAAAAAAATGATTTCTTCATTTTGACATATTTTGGAAATCCTGAACTTTTTTTTCAAAGCAAACGTACTGCTTTAACTGCATAGAGACAAAATATAAAGCGCGTAAGCGCCGCGTCGCTGTCTAACGGATAAACATTGGTACGGAACCCATAGGAATGTAAACCAAATTTATACTCATTGTTAAAATCTCTATAAAATATCTGATAATTTGATGCGCATATGTCTAATGATCATTTTTGACCGCCAGATGGCGTTTTTTTTTTACTTTTTTTACTAGATCTCCGAAACCACTAGACCTGCCTTCATGAAAATGTTTTTTGAATTATTAAAATCGGATGCTCCGTTCTCTTAAAAACCGAGTTACCAGTTTTGGCACTTTTTGCCCCGTATCTTCGGAACGGCTAGACCTGCCTTCGCCAAAAACTAATCAGCACGTCTCCTTAGCAATACGAATAGAGTGTTTTTTATTTATTCAAATCCCTTTATCCGTGTTTCCGAAATCGTCGACGAAAATTTGTATCCGCACATGCATACACACACACACATACATCCATTTTTTCTAAGGTATGCCAAAATGTTCAGAAACCTTTGAAACGTAAAGATATATAAAAATTTTCATTTTCGATTTTTTTGCGATTACTATAACTTGCCCTACGGGAAGTTAAAAAATAATTAATTTAGGAAAAACTTTAACATCATAACCTTAACATTTATGTAATTTGCAAACAAATAGAAAACTCTTGATATGTTACTCCTGCATTTATTTCTACACTTATATGATTACAATGTCAAAACAAATGCATAAAAATCAAATTTCCATACATCGATATAAATCTTCTCTTCTGGCAAACGTTTTCTCTCAGACTTAGACATCACATCAGTCAATACAACCCAACAGTCGACAATAATAATATAACAATAGCATAAAAATTTCATTTATTAATAATACTAAATCTATTCATCCCGGTGCTTCTTAGCACCATCTTTTCCTTTGGCTTTGTTCCTTCGAGCGTTCCTGCTCTGTGTTTGTTTTACGCTTCCTGCAAGCATTCCTTGTTTCCTCATTGCGCCCAGTTTGAAATTTTTTTGTTTGACAATTTTTTTGGCCTCTGCACTCTTTTTGTGACCAGGTTGGGTGTAGAGGACGTTTATTCGACGACCACCTACCATCGAATGATGGAGGGATAAAGCTCTCTAAAAAATAAATAGAAAATTATATTAATACAATTATTTATATATTTATATGAATATTTATAGTTAAATAAATATTTATACTTATTTAAATATTTGTATTCAATAACTAAAACTAATAATTCATTAGTAATTCATGAACTTTATAAAATTACTAGCAAACCCGACGAACTCCGTTTCGCCACCACATGGTTTCGTGAGAAAGATGAAGAAATTTTTTGTTCGTTTTATATTTGAAAAGGAAAAATTTGATTTTATTATACAACAGTAATGAATTTATTTCGATTACAAAAATGAAGTGTATTTTAGTTGAACTTCTCTAAGTAAATGAAAGTGAATCAGCAAATTATCCGTTTCATTGAAGTGCTCTTTGGTAAACCACATTTTTTGTTTTTTGGTCTGACGTTAACACAAACAAAACGGATGGTTTTCCAACTCGTGAACAGGCAACGTATAACTGCCCATGTGAAAAACAATGATTTTCTAAATAATCTATTTGAAATTTATCCCGCAAACACAATTACAATCGTTTGAAGTCAAACGGAAGGCCAGTCGGAATCATTGGTATGTCACCAAATCGCCAGCAATTTTTGATTGAATGGTGAAATTCAGTGCGTCTACATCATTATACTTTACGGCAAGAATTGCTCGTTGACTTAACCAAGCACAATTCTGATAAGTCTCACTAATGTCATTACTCGAATTTTTAATTACGGTGCGTGAAGTTCCAGCAATTTGCATTAGGGCACGATGCCATCCACCACTAATTTTCTTAGTGACCTTTCCAACAAATGCAAAATTGTCGAAATCAGTTCGTGCGTTCTGGAGTTATTTCGTCAGGAAATATATAGAAGATAAAATATTTATACTTATTTAAAACTAATAATTCATTAGTAATTCATGAACTTTATAAAATTATTAAATTAATTTTGATCATTTAGAGAACTATTTTATATTTTTTCTTTAAGATTATACGCTCGAACATAAACTCTTCTAAATTTAACTTAAAGATATTTAGTTGAAATGTGAAGCAAACGGATTTAATTTATAAATTTTGTTTTTGGAAAGATATGCAACATAAAATTAACAAGAAAAATTATGTAGAACAGTTGAAACATAAAAGTGCCTCACTAATGCTACAATAACTAATTTTATACAATATTTTAATATCCAAGTGTACAAACCTTTTTTACTAGATTTTAGTAAATTTTATCTAGTTTTTACTGATGTAAACAAATTATAATATCCGAGAAGAAAATCAAAAGTTATTTGAAGAAAAGTAAAAAAATGCGACTCTATTCCCAATTCCCAAACTTCATATACATATAATGCGAATTATCAAAAAACTAAAGTCCGCATTTCAATTACGAATTATTCAAAATTTTGATATCAAAATGTGTATAACAGTTTTTACTGGATTTTAGTAAATTTTATCTAGTTTTTACTGGTGTTAACAAATTATAATGTCCAAGAAAAAAATCAAAAGTTATTTAAAGAAAAGTGAAAAAAAATAGTACTCCATTCCCAATTCCCGAACTCCATATACATAATGCGAATTATCAAAAAACTAAAGTCCGCATTTCAACTACAAATTTTTGAAAATTTCAATATGCAAATGTATATTACGATTTCTACTAGAATTTAGTAAATTTTATCTAGTTTCTACTGAGTTACTGATGTAAACAAATTATAATGTCCGAGAAGAAAATCAAAAATTATTTGAAGAAATGTAAAAAAATGTCCTAAATATTGCAAATGATCACATTTGCATATTTTTCAATAGTTTTCTCACAAAATTGGAAAAGTGCTACAACAGTCTTATCGCACTCGGGTAAACATTTGTACCAGAGTGGCGCTTAGACTGTGCTTAGCTTAGAAACAATTTTTTTTTTCAAAAGCAATTTTTTCTTGAAACAAGCAGAAAGTTCTTTGAATCATTTAAATCGGACGCTTAGTTCTCTCAAAAACTGCCATTTTTTCAACATTTTGCTCGGTATCTCCGAAACCGCTGGCCCTACCTTTAAATAATAATAACCAATTTAAATAGTAATAACCACTTTTCCCCATCATTACGAACTAAATGTTTTGTAGATCATTCAAATCCGATACTCAGTTCTCTCAAAATCTCGATTTTTATTTTCGGCACTCTTTGCTCTGTATCTCCGTAACGGCTGGACCTGCCTTTGCTAAAAACTAATCAGCACATCTCCCTATCAATAGGAATGGAATGTTTTTTAAACCATTCAAATCGGTTGATCCGTGCGCCCGAAAACGTGGACGAAAAAATGCGGACATACAAAACACACACACACACATCCATTTAGTTTCTGAGGTATGCCAGTAAAATGTTCAGAAACCTTCAAAACGTCGAGAAATGCAAAAATTTTCATTTTCGATTTTCGGCCCATTACTATAACTAACCTACGAGAAGTTAAAAATGAATCTGACTGTTTTGATTTATATACCATCCTACAACTCAATCATTTCTAGTTTAATAAAATAATTATCTCCCAGATCAATAATTCGAGTTAAAAGATAATCACTTAATTTAATTACCATTTGCTAGTCTCCTAGATGATGCATAACCAGTATATTTGGTCCATCGACAAAACACACAGAATCTCAATCCCATCATTTCTAAATATTCTCTTTATCAATCGAGAAACATCATCCCATCTTAGTCTGTCCAAGCCGCAACCAATTTTTGGCATAGCCAATTTAGTCACATTATTTTTCAGCATATGCTTCCTCATGTTCTTCAAACGATGATTCTAAAGCTTCTATACAAGGCTTACCAGAACTTCTTTGTTTCGTTACTAAATAGTAAATAAACCTTTGGTTATCTTTAAGGTATGCAAAGCCACCTGTTCGGGGTCTTTGTAGTAATAAATCTGCAACTCTTCCAAATCTATAACGGAATTGTAAAGCAATGCCTGCACCCATGATGAAGTCTTCGGCACACAATGGCATAGAGAGTAGTCTTCGGGGACTTCGAAGAGGTCTTGGGGGATTTCAGAATAATTGAAATCAGGGTGGTCACTTATTTCAACACTTGACACATTTTTCCTTTGATCTCGAGTACTATTACTGGTAACTTTATTTGATACAGAACTTTCTGAGGAGCTACTGGTATTATCAGATTCATATTTACTTTTATGAGATTTCTTTGCTTCAGATCTACGAGATTTCTTATCTTGGTGGTCCAGTTTTGGTTTGCGATTTTTGGCTGTTGATGTCCAATTTTCATCACTTGATGACGATTCAAAAATTGGAGGTTCTTCAGACATCGTAATATCATCCCAAGATCTTGTTGGAGAGACCTGTTCAATATTTTGTTCAAGAGCATTTTTCAAGAGCTTAGGTTGAAGTTTCTTAACATTAGATTCATGCAACACATTTTTCCTTCGATCTCGAATACTATTACTGGTAACTTTATTTGATACAGAACTCTCTGAGGAGCTACTTATATCATCAGATTCATATTCATATTTAGTTTTATGAGATTTCTTTGCTTCAGATCTACGAGATTTCTTGTCTTTAGATTTATGTGATTTTTTTCTACCAGACTTATGTGATTTTCTGTGTTTATGTTTACCCATGTCTACTATTTAATAATCACCACTATATATTTAGTAAAGTTAAAACGGATTTTTCACAAAAATTATTAAATACTAAAGTATTAATTTTCCTGGCAATATATAATTCCTTATTAAACCATTTTAATGGTAAGATTTACAAAAATTCTTTCCATGTCTACTTATTACTATTTAATAATAACCACTATTTTTTTGGTAAACTTAAAATGAATTTTTCACAAAAATTATTAAGTAATAAAGTATTAATTTTCCTGGCAATTTATAATTGCTTATTAAACAATTTTAACGGTAAGATTTACAAAATTTCTGTCCATGTCTATTTATTACTGTTTAATAATAACCACTATTTTTTTTGGTAAAGTTAAAATGGATTTTTCACAAAAATTATTATTTAATAAAGTATTAATTTTCTTGGCAATTTATAATTGTTTATTAAACAATTTTAACGATAAGATTTATAAAATCTCTGTCCATGTGTATTCATTACTATTTAATAATAACCACTATTTTTTTGGTAAAGTTAAAACGGAGTTTTCACAAAAATTATTAATTATTAAATTAATAATTTTCCTGGCAGTTTATACTTGCTTATTAAACAATTTTAACGACAAGATTTACAAAATTTCTGTCCATGTCTATTTATTACTATTTAATAATAACCACTATTTTTTTGGTAAACTTAAAATGAATTTTTCACAAAAATTATTAAGTAATAAAGTATTAATTTTCCTGGCAATTTATAATTGCTTATTAAACAATTTTAACGGTAAGATTTACAAAATTTCTGTCCATGTCTATTTATTACTATTTAATAATAACCACTATTTTTTTGGTAAAGTTAAAACGGATTTTTCACAAAAATTATTAATTAATAAATTAATAATTTTTTGGCAATTTATAATTGTTTATTAAACAATTTTAATAGTAAGATTTACAAAATTCTGTCCATGTCTATTTATTACTATTTAATAATAACCACTATTTTTTTGTAAATTAAAATAGATTTTTTTTACAAAAATTATTATTAAATAAAGTATTAATTTTAATATTGGCACTGGCAATTATAAGTGTTTATTAAACAATTTTACCGGTAAGATTTACAAAATTTTTGTCCATGTCTATTTATTACTATTTAATAATAACCACTATTTTTTTTGGTAAAGTTAAAATGGATTTTTCACAAAAATAATTAAATAATAAATTAATAATTTTCCTGGCAATTTATAATTGCTTATTAAACAATTTTAATAGTAAGATTTACAAAAATTCTTTCCGTGTCTATTTATTACTATTTGATAATAACCACTATTTTTTTGGTAAAGTTAAAACGGATTTTTCACAAAAATTATTAATTAATGAAGTATTAATTTTCTTGGCAATTTATAAGTGTTTATGAAACAATTTTAATAGTAAGATTTACAAAATTTCTGTCCATGTCTATTTATTACTATTTAATAATAACCACTATTTTTTTGTAAAATTAAAATAGATTTTTTTTACAAAAATTATTATTAAATAAAGTATTAATTTTAATATTGGCACTGGCAATTTATAAGTGTTTATTAAACAATTTTACCGGTAAGATTTACAAAATTTCTGTCCATGTCTATTTATTACTATTTAATAATAACCACTATTTTTTGGTAAAGTTAAAATGGGTTTTTCACAAAAATGATTAAGTAATAAAGTATTATTTTCCTAGCAATTTATAATTGCTTATTAAACAATTTTACCGGTAAGATTTACAAATTTTTTGTCCATGTCTATTTGTTACTATTTAATAATAACCACTATTTTTTTGGTAAAGTTAAAATGGGTTTTTCACAAAAATTATTAAATAATAAATTAATAATTTTCCTGGCAATTTATAATTGTTTATTAAACAATTTTAATGATAACATTCACAAAAATTTTTTTCTTTATTTTTATTTATTTATTTTACCGAAGACTATTTGATACTATTTAATAATGACTATTTTTTTAGAATCAACAATTGCTAAATTAACAATTAGCAATTTTTTTGATTATAATTAGAAGTTTCAGTCACCAAAAAAAACGAAAAAGACCCTGATATTTTTGTAAATATTAAATGGATTTCATTTAAAATTATTAATTATTCAACAAATTATTAATTTTTCTGACAACTTGTAAGTGTTTATTAGACATTTATTTGGATCAGATTCACAAGATTTCTTTCCTTTATTTTCAATTCATTTTACCCAAAACAATTTGTTACTATTTAAAAATCACTACTATTTTTAGAAATCAACATTTGTTAACAATTAACATTAACAATTAGCAATTTTTTGGATATTATAATTATAAATTTCAATCACCAAATGTGCACAGCATTATACGAAAAAAGGCACTAATATTTTTGTAAATTTGAAATAAATTTTTCAGAAATTAATAATTAATTAACAAACTATTAATTTGCGTGGAAATTTATAATAGTGTATTAAACTTGCACACGATTAATTGATCACATTTACAAGATTTCTTTCCTTGACTACTTAAATACGATTTAAAAATCGCCACAATGTTTTTTATAATTTTATAATGCTTTTTATAAAATTAATAATTAATAAATTATTATTTCAAATGAATTATTTTATTTTCAGTCACCAAACGTGCACAGTTTTATACAGAAAAGAGACTGAGCGTCATTCGACCATTCGAGCTGAAGAGATAAGAAATACTAAACTAATAAATAGGGAATTCCCAGAAAACCTTTCGTACAACCAGTGCAGTCCAACCTTTCCGTAAAAAGAATTGTGGCGCCAATTTTAAATTTAATTTAATTTAATGAACACTGAATTATTATAATTTAATTATAACGCTATAAATCATTAAAAATTATACATAACTAGTGGGGTGTGTGGCATCGTGCCTTAAGGCAAATTGCTAGAACTTCCCGTACCGTAACGAAATGTTCGAGGAATACTGAATGTTTTCAAATAGATTATTATAGATATTGTAACATTGTCTAATATTTATAAGAATTATATAAACTGAATCGCAAAGTTGGAATTATTTGTTTGAAGTATATTATAACTTTAGGCAGAATTAAAAATAAAATCTGAATTATTTTCGATATACCAAAAAATTTCAATCATTATTTCACAAATCAATTATTTTGTTAAAACTAATGTGTTATTTTTTACACATTTAGCTCCGTATCTTCAAAATGGCTGGGCCTGCCTTTGCCAAAAACTAATAAACACTTCTCCCAATCATTATTACTAATTGAATGTTTTTAGATCATACAAATCGGATGATCCGTTCTCTCAAAAACTCGATTTCTATTTTCTGCACTCCTTTGCTCGTTATCTCCGTAACTGCTGGACCTGCCTTTGCCAAAAACTAATCAGCACATCTCCCTATCAATAGGGATCAAATGTTTTTTTAAACCATTCAAATCGGTTGATCCGTGCGCCCGAAAACGTGGACGAAAAAATACAAAAAACACAACACTTTCTGAGGTATGCCAAAACGTTCAGAAACCTTCAAAACGTCGAGAAATGTAAAAAATTTCAATTTCGATTTTCGGCCCATTACAATAACTTACCCTACGGGAAGTTAAAAAATACGATTTTTCGTAAATTCGAAAAATTCGTTCGGAAAATTTTACGTAACTAAAAATACACGTAATATTTGGTCGGGGAGGAGGGTAATTTTAAATATCGCCAAAGGGGAGTCCAAAAATCCCTAAAAAAATGGATCACGTGATTATTGGACGCCCCCACAGTTTTAACTTTTCTTCTAATAACTTAACTTTCATTCCGGATTATTGATAAATTATTTAAATTAGTAAAATACAGATAAAATTTACTAAATCAAGGTATAATTGTGTTAATAATATTGTTAATTTCAAATTATAGCTAAATTCGAATTATAGTAAAAATTGTCTATATACTTGTATAATTTTTAATTACCTGATAACTTTCTGGATCTGTAAGCTCGACATATGCAAATCCTTTCGGCCTATTAGAACCCTTTTCTTTAACTATACGGACATCTCTAATCTAAAAAAAATTAAACATCAGTATTCAAAATAATAATTACAAAGATAAATATATATTAGGGTGGTCCTTAATATGGTCATTTTCGAATTTTCTTGCTACCAGGGGCTTCAAAATTGATAAAAAACAATTCTCTGAAAGTTTTGGCTTTGAATATTGTCTTTTAGATAGTGCGCAATTCAATCAAAGCATGGAAAAAATTTCAAAAATTTTAAAAATATTTTTTAGATATAAATGAACGAGTTTTATTCAAAATTCGACGCTCTACAAAACAAATTATAAAAAATCTGTTTTGCAGAGCGTCGAATTTTCAATAAAAGATGACACAAATTGTCACTTTTAAGGGGCACAACTAGTGTGAAATTTTCAAAAAATCGAATTTTTAATTTTTCCATTATTACCCAAAAACAATTGATCCGATCACTATCGAATTTTTTTTACATGTTCTATATATAGTTCTCCGTAAAATGAACTATCGATTTTTTGATCGGATCAAAAATCGAATTTTGGCAGTCCAAAAACGACCAAAATTTTGGGTAAAATTCGACTTTTTTTTAAAAAACGCCTTCATTTTGTCAATTTTTGATTTTTTTTTCTTCATCGTAGTTCATTTTACAGACAATATTATCTAGTTCAACGAAATTTTTTTTTTTATTTCATCCACGTAGAAGGCCGGAATCACTGCAGCAGTGAAGGGCCTTTTTTTGTCGCGCCGTTGGAGATCGACGATAACTTAAAAAATATTTAATTTTTTTCTTCAAAAATTTTACTATGTATTCTTAAAACATGTATAAATATATTCCTAAAATTTTGAAATGATTGATAAAGTAGTTTTTTTTAATATAAATTCCCAAAATCACCCTTTTTTTAGGCGGTTACGCTAGTTGTGCCTCTTTTGTCGCTAAGTTATACCTAAAAAAACATTTTTAAAATTTTGATTAAATTGCGGACTATCTAAAAGTTAATATTAAGAGCTAAAACGTTTAGAGTATTTTTATTTATCAATTTCGAAGCATTTGAGCTCCTGGCAGCAATAAAATTCGAAAATGTCCATATCAAGGACCACCCTAGTATATATATATTGGCTTACCTGTCCTGCTTTATCAAAATGTGTTTTCAAAGTATCCTTATCGATAGTATACGGTAAATTACCTACAAAAACAACATATCGAGCATTCTTTCCAACTAGTTGTTTCAATTTCTCCGGATCGAGTTCCTTTTTCTGTGGTTGCTCTTTCGGGTTCTTATTTTTATTTGCGCCATCTTTTTTATCTTCAGTTTTGTTTAAAATATTTAGGAATTTCTTTTGTGTTTTATTATCGACTTGTTTTGATTGTTTCTTTGTATCTGCAGGAACTGGTTTAACGTCGTCGTCATCGTCATCGGAGTCTTCAATAGTCATTTGGGAATCATCAAGAGTTTCGTCATGGGTGTCAGCCTCGTCTTCCTCGTCCTCGTCAGATTCATCATCAACTTCTTCAGATTCATCATCGACTTCTGTTGCTTCTTCATCGTCATCATCAGATTCTTCGGCTTCATTATCAACTAGTGAATCTTCAGCTTCAGCTTCAGCATCATCATCATCATCGTCATCATCATCTTCCTCGACTTCCATCTCATCACTTTCCTCATCCTCGTCTTCAGAATCCATAGGTACATCGGCCTTAAGTTTTTTGGTAACCTTATCAGCTTTTATCATACGTTCGACTTCGTAATCAGATTCAGCATCCTCATCATCATCATCAACGTCAACGTCTTCTATAGGTCTTTTACTACCTTTACCCTTGACTTTTTCAGGTTCCTTCGCCTTCGGCTTAGATTTAGTCTGCTGAAGCCGTTGCTCACACTTCTTGGTATCCTCTTCCCAAATTTCATTCTGTAATTTCTGGTCAGCGATTTCCTTCGCGATTTTACCATCACGTCGTTCCTTGCGTTTAACGGATTTGGATACAGTTTTAGTGGTTTGCTTGTCATCTTTTTTAGCGACTTCATCGGTTTTGCCTAAAGCCAATTTTTCCAGTTTTTTCAACTTGCGCAGACGTCTCTTTCCTGAATTGGTGTTAGGTTCTCCGATGTCTGCTATTTTTTTTTGGATGGACTCCAGGTTTAGTTCGTCGGGTTTGATGATGCCTTCTTTGGCTTGTGCTACTTTTTCTTTGAAGACTTGGAGTTTTTTCTTTGTCTTCTCGCGTTTTTTCTGGCGTTTGTTCTTGATGGGGTCGTCGACGGATTTTGTTGAATCGTTTAGGGATGTATCAGATGTAACAGTAGTCTGTGGTTTTTGTTCTTTGTTCTTCTTATTGCGTGATCTGGTCTTTTTCTTTTTACCCTGCTGTTGGACAGGACTACTTTTATTGACTTCCTGCTTATTGTTAGAGTCCTGTTTATTTGAATTTGATTCCGACTTATTTTTATTGAACTCCGTCTTAGTTTCTGGTTTATTCTGATTACTTTCTAGCCCTTTATTTTTCTTATCCTTCTTATTTGATTCCTCCGGCTTATTTTCTGGTTTATTATGACTACTTTCTAGCCCTTTATTTTTCTTATCCTTCTTAGCAGGTTTAGCATTGACTAGTTTATCCAAATCAGAAACTTTCGGCTTCGGTAAAGCATCACCATTCACCTTTTTATTAAATTGTCCTCCATTCTGCTGATTTTTATTCTCCTGTTTTGGTTTATTGTCGCGCTTCCTTTTGTTTTTATTACCAACCTTATTATTATTATTCTGCTGATGTTTTTGCGGAGATTGAGTCTTCACCACACCCATTTCTGAAAATCAGCCAAAATTGGAAAAAAAGAAAAAACATTATATGTTATCAGAAACCAACTCCACATAACTTTACTTTTTTCAATATGACAATCAAATACGATAAATTTTCACTTTGATAAATTAAATTTTGTATAAAACTTGTTTCAACATTTATTAACTTTCCGAAGGAGAAGTATATGTTTTCATCAAAAAATCCGATTCGCTAATTTTATGTTTTCTCCTCGACGTTTCAAGCCATTCTGAATCGAATGAGACCAAATTTAAGGAAAAAGTATGTGTGTGAACAGATTTTTTTTAAATTCGTAATTAGTATTAAAATAAATCTTTAAAAAATTATAAAATTATGTTAGATGCTCAAAATAGGTTGGAATATTTATGCGAAGTCTTTGAAAAATAATATTTTGTCAGGAAAAGTAAATAAATTGAATTTACATATTAGAACATTTTTAATGAAAATATTAGATTTTTGAAAAAAAAGACTTTTTTGAAATTAAAAACATTTAAAAAGTGTTTTATTATTAACTTCCCGAAGGAGAAATTTATGTTTTCATCAAAAATTCCGATTCGCTAATTTTATATTTTCTCGACGTTTCAAGCCATTCTGAATCAAATGAGACCAAATTTAAGGAAAAAGTATATGTGTGCGTGTGTGTGAACAGATGTTTTTAAATACGTAATTAGTATTAAAATCAATCTTTAAAAAATTTGAAAATTCTGTTAGATTCTCAAAATAAGTTGAAATATTTATGCGAAGTCTTTGAAAATAATATTTTATCAGGAAAAATAAATAAATTGAATTACATATTAGAAAAATTTTTATTGTGAAAAAAATTAGTATGGCAACTTGCCTTAAGGCAAATTGCTGGAAATTCCCGTACCAAAAATTTTTTTTTTTTTAAATTTGAAAACTTTGAAAATATTAGATTTTTGAAAAAAAACCTTTGAAATTAAAAACATTTAAAAAAGTGTTTTATTATTAACTTCCCGAAGGGGAAGTTTATGTTTTCATCAAAAAATCCGATTCGCTAATTTTATGTTTTCTCGACGTTTCAAGCCATTCTGAATCGAATGAGACCAAATTTAAGGAAAAAGTATGTGTGTGCGTGTGTGTGAACAGATTTTTTTAAATTCGTAATTAGTATTAAAATCAATCTTTAAAAAATTAGAAAATTATGTTAGATTCTCAAAATAGGTTGAAATATTTATGCGAAGTCTTTGAAGAATAATATGTTATCAGGAAAATAAATAAATTGAATTTACATATTAGAAAAATTTTTAATGTGAAAAAAATTAGTAAGGCAACTTGCCTTAAGGCAAATTGCTGGAAATTCCCGTACCAAAAATTATTTTTTATTTAAAAGAAGTCCTAATTTTTTTTGAAAACTTTAAAATTATTGTATTTGTTGAAATTAAAAACATTTAAAAAAGTGTTTTATTATTAACTTCCCGAAGGAGAAGTTTATGTTTTCATCAAAAAATCCGAATGGCTAATTTTGTGTTTTCTCGACGTTTCAAGCCATTCTGAATCGAATGAGACCAAATTTAAGGAAAAAGTATGTGTGTGTGTGTGAACAGATTTTTTAATTTTTATATTAATAACATAATTAGCAATATGTGAATTCCGTACAATTTTATATTTCTTGGAATATCTTGGAAATTTTGCAAAAACTAGGTAAATTTTTCGTAAAAGTTAGTAAAAACTGTTATATACACTTAATATTAAATTTTGGAATAATTCGTAATATGTGATAATTTATAATATATCTATTTAGAAAAGTTTCAACTCTTCTTCTTCTAATAACTTTTAACATTTATTTTATTCTTTTAAAATTTATTCTGCTAGCATTATATTTTTTTAAAATATTCGAACATTAATTTTAAAGATGTATTAAGTAATAATATGCAAAATTAAAAAAAAATAAAAACAAGTTATATAATTCGGTTGAAACATAGAAGTATGTAAATCTATCACAACGCATTTTATACAAAATTTCGATATCCAAGTGTATATAACAGTTTTTACTAAATTTTAGCAAATTTTATCTAGCTTTTACTGATGTAAACAAACTATAATGTGCAAAAAAAAATAAAAATAATTTGAAGAAAGTAAAAAATGTTCTAGCAAATTATGAAAATTCTAAAGTCTGCTTTCAACTACTACGATTTTTTCAAAATTTCAATATGCAAGTGTATATATCAGTTTTTTATTAGATTTTAGTAAATTTTATGTAGTTTTACTGATGTAAACAAATTATGATGGCCAAGAAGAAAATCAAGTTATTTGGAGAAAAGTAAAATAAAAGCGACTCTATTCTCAACTCCATATACATAATGCAAAATGTAG